CTGAACATTTTTAGTTCTCTCACATTGTATAATGAAACCTACACTTATTTTGTCAATACCCATGGTGGCAGCATTAAGATGAACTCCATTTGGTATATTTCAGGTATTATTTGGGCCGGAGAGCGGTGGTGGTGATAGCGGACCCTGACATGCTCAGACAGGTGATGGTCAGGGACTTCAGCAGCTTCCCAAACAGAATGGTGAGGACATGAAAGAAAACATTCCCATGTAAACTTTGTGCTCTCTCATATATGATTTAATGATGACATAAGTACATATATTTTTTGTTCTCTCCTTTCTCTCTGTGTAGACTGTTCGCTTTGCCTCCAAGCCCATGACAGACTGCCTGCTCATGCTGAGGAATGAACGCTGGAAGAGAGTGCGGAGCATCCTGACCCCGTCCTTCAGCGCTGCCAAGATGAAAGAGGTGAGATAAGAGTGAACGCCTATTAGATGCTGCCACTTTTTAAATGCTTTTCTGGTATTGAAATTTGCTGAATAGAAGTTCAGATCATTAATGTCTACAAGAAACAGCTCACAGACATACAAATTAAACCTTTTTACCCAAACAGTTACAGATTGAGGGCAAGAAGTGGAGTTGAAGGAAAGACAGCTCTTACTGTTTTGTAAAATATTAAAATAATTTCCCCCACGTTTCTTCTTTAAGGTCACATTTTTTTACTTGGGCAATGTTATTATTATGTACATGATTATAATGAAATATCAGTTCTCGTATAACTAAAGGCTGAAGTTGGTGTAACTACGAGAAGTGTTTTTGTATCTAAGGGTGGAGAGTGATGTCCTGGTACCGCTGATAAGCTTGTCTCTGAATTAATTTACGGCAACGCAGACCTTCTGCTTTGATCTGCAGTAAATATCAGATCTGTTCATTTTGGAGACAATATTTTAGTCCAGGAGAAAGGAGTGGAGAGGAAGTGAAAGACTTCTTTGATGAAAAAGAGAAATAATTTCCAAGGCGTGTTGAGTTCATGGTCCATCTAAATTCTCTTTGCTGTCTACACTTTGACTTTGAATTATATCTGATCAAGTAATTTTCTTCCTTCATTGGTAAATCAAAAATATTGAATTGAATGACCTATCTTTATCTTTTTCATATCAACCTCTTAATCACACTATTTATCCTTTTAAACTTCTCTTCAGCCGGGATTAACTTTGAATATTCATCCCCACAGTGTGACTGTGCGTCCATGCAGCGTGTGTATTGACTGTTATTTTGATCTACGAATGCCTTTTTCAACTGCGTACAGTAGTCTGAGTGTGCTCTTTATCTGTCTGTGGCAACTTTCCCAAATGATTGGTGATTAGTAGGTCGCACACTATTTAAATTGTTTACAATAGCAAACGTTCTTGTTACATTTTAACTGTACCCATAATGATCATGACTCGTCAATAGATTTTTCAAAAGAATGGTCATTTTAAAGAGGCCCTATTATGCTTCCTTGGGGTCTTCCCTTCCCCGTAGTGTGTGATATAGGTTTTTGTACATGTAAATGGTCTGCGAACCCAAACATCTGCCTGAAACGCCTCCTTTTTAGTCCTTTATTTACTTCCGAAAATAAGCATAATAGGGCCCCTTTAAAAAAAACAGCTGTTTGATGTGGAGGTTGGCTAGGCGCTAGGTTCTGATATCAGTTTTTTTGGCACAAGCATACTAAAGAGGGGAAAGTAATGCAGAGACATGTTTTTTATTTATTTTTTTATGATCAATAGTTCTTCAATAGAAGTACAGTATTCTTTCTGCACCAATCTATCTGATCCGTGTTGTATTCACTGGCAGCTTTGACGAGTATCAGTGTCTCTCATTGTTCCTGTAGATGGTTCCGCTCATCAACACGGCCACCGATGCTTTGATGACGAACCTGAACGTCTCTGCCGAGTCAGGAGAAGCCTTTGACATCCACAGGTGATCACCCTCGAATGAACACAGGCAGTCAGTATTATATAATCATCTTCACGGCCTGATGTTTTAGTTTGTGTGTGTTCTGCAGATGTTTCGGCTGCTTCACCATGGATGTCATTGCCAGTGTGGCATTTGGAACTCAGGTGGACTCTCAGAAAAACCCAGACGACCCGTTTGTCCGCCATGCTCAGATGTTCTTCGGCTTCTCTTTCTTCAGGCCCATCATGCTGTTCTTCAGTCAGTCCAATCTCTTTGTATTTCTATTTGTATGTGTTTATTGGAGGCATTTATACAGGAAAGCAATGTAAGCAAGTAACCAAAATATGAAAACATAGACCAGAAGAGGCGTGTTTCCCTATATATAAATGGGGTTATTGCATTTGGAGAACTTTAATCATAAACGAAATAGATTGTTATAGATTTATTTAAATGTAAATAGTTGATTTGTGTGTCCAGTTGCTTTCCCATTCATCATGGCTCCTCTGGCGGGACTCATCCCAAACAAAAGGCGTGACCAGATGAATAGTTTCTTCACGAATAGCATCCAGAGGATCATCCAGCAGAGAGAGGAGCAGCCTCCTGAGCAGGTGAAGCTCATTGTCACTTAATAAGCTTATAAGATAATGTATACTGTATATAAAACTTACCGTTTCCTAGTTTTAACAATGTTTTAAGAATGAGTTCATTGGGTTTCCTGTGTATGCAGAGGCGTAGAGACTTCCTCCAGCTGATGTTGGATGCACGAACCAGCAAAGAGCATGTGTCTTTGGAGCACTTTGACTCAGAGAAGCACGCTGCTGAGCAGGATCAGAGGATCCAGCTGTCGGCCTCCGATCAGGACGACCGTCCGTCCCCACAGGAGCCCCCCACCATGCGCCCACAGAAAAAGATGATCACTGAGGATGAGATTGTGGGCCAGGCTTTTGTCTTTCTGCTGGCAGGCTACGAGACCAGCAGCAACACGTTGGCCTTCACCTGCTACCTCCTGGCCATCAACCCCGAATGTCAACGCAGAGTGCAGGAAGAGGTGGACGAGTTCTACACCAGACATGTGGGTGTGACGCCTTACGGTTTGATATCATCTCATTTTCTTCAGCTACTAACCACAAGATTTAAGTTTCAGACGCAATTCATGCACACATTTGCTCATTCTGTTTTTAAAATGTACTGAAATTGTCCTGATTTGATCTTATCTTCCTTGCGTTGTAGGAGTCAGCGGATTACACAAATGTCCAGGAGCTGAAGTATTTAGACATGGTGATAAGTGAAACACTGCGCCTCTACCCTCCAGGGTTCAGGTAAATCCAGAACATTCAATGAGGATAAGATCATTTCTGCAGAATGAACAGGGTTATCTATTTCTCTACATACAAACATACATACAACATTTTTGTATTTAATAATACAGAAATCAAATGGAGGAGAGAAAGGGAATAATACGTGCATTTTCTTTTTCTTTCCCTTAACTGTCAAGTGGGAACTAAGTATCTTTCGTACGTTTTGTGTTTCTCTTATTTTCCTACGATACTGCAATGATTGGCTGTTAATAAGAAAATATGAAGGACAGACCATCTATTTATTTATTTATTTTTTGAGAAACGGATCGGTAATACAAGGTATATTACAGGTATATATTATTTTCTTCTCCCTGCTCCTTTTTGGGTATTTACAGAGACATGTTTTGTAAATACTTATATATATACATTGAGTTTGTGCATACCATGAACGGAACAAATCAAAATGAAATGGTATTCTGCTCTCTACAGGTTTGCGAGAGACATCGACGAGGACTGTGTGGTGAACGGACAGTTCCTCCCCAAAGGAGCAACTCTGGAGATCCCCGCCGGCTTCCTCCACCAGGACCCCGAGCACTGGCCCGAGCCGCAGAGCTTCATCCCTGAGCGGTAGGGGGCTGTTCTTACAGGAGATAAACTATAGAGACTGTAACCTGTGACTCATTGTTTACAATCTGGGGTTAGTGTTTGGTGGTAAAATACCTGCATTTATCTCTAGATTCACACCAGAGGCCAAGGCCAGTCGACATCCCTTCGTATACCTGCCGTTCGGGGCCGGACCCCGTAACTGTGTGGGAATGAGGCTCGCCCAACTGGAAATGAAGATGGCTTTAGTTCGTATATTCCGCAAGTTCAGCATCGTGGCCTGCTCTGAGACCAAGGTGGGTTCCAACCTATGGTTCCAACACTAAGGACAACAATCTCTTCAAAATGACAAATCTAAAAAATGATTGGTTAACACGAGACACATTTAAACACTGAGCAGAACTGCATGGACTCTGGCCAAAGCACAGCGGTCATGTTTTATGAACACTGCTTCCACTCCTACTGCTATTTATTTAATTTGTTTACTTTATTATTTGCCCCTTTTGTTTGTTTGTTTGTTTGTTTGTTTGTTCACCATGTAAAGTGGCCTTGGGTCCCTTGAAAGGCGCTATACACATTGAATCTATTATTATTATTTATAATTAATTATCAATAATACAGTTAAATGATTGCAATTTGCACGAACTGAACTGTCTCAAAATGTGATAATCTTTCATCTATTTCCATGCTCGGTTATATTTAGAGTATATGCTCAAATGTTGCTTTTTCATGTCTTTGTTCAGGTTCCTCTTGAGTTGAAGTCAGCAAGCACTCTGGGACCTAAAAACGGCATATTTGTGAAAATTGAAAGAAGAGACGCTGGAGAAGACGAAGTGAATTCTCCGCCAGCAGACAGTTAGAGATATCACCATGGACGGTAGAAACCTGATGAACCGTTACAAAGCATACATATTTAATAGTTATCTTATACAAGATTGAAACATTGCATTTTAAGTTACAGTTCACTGTACAGTGTTTCCCCTAGGTTTACTGCTTTGGGGGGATGCTGCTTGAATAAAAGAGCACATGTTCAATGTGAAAAGTGACAGTAGATATAGATTAGTTGCAATTTGGTGCTATATATATATTAAACATTTTTTTATTAAAACACCTTGAATTTCAGGGGGGGTGCAGGGCTCCGTTGGCGGGGCGCAGCATCCCTCCAAGACAATGGTATGGGAAACACTGCTGTATTTCTCGATGATAGTGCATGGTTAGTGCCTTTCTTCTTGGTGAGTGAACTTTAAAGGGTACTGAAAACGAGACGAGTGAATAAAGAGCGAATAAAAGTCTGTGAAATGAATGAATTCACCTCAACTATTTGTCTTCCTTGCACTGTAGAATTAATTGATTGTCTCTACATTACAAGTTACTGCTGTTGACTCCAGTCTTACACAATGCTGTCACGTTATCTTTAAACCCCTTCAAATGACAGCTGCTATTTTACAGTGATTTTAAAGGAAATCCTCCTGTTTTTATTTTCTGATGACTCAGCATTTATAAAATATCTCAGAATAGTAAACAAGATGGAACTTGTTTAGGTCGTGGAGTAAAAACATTTGATTAAATTGATCATGTCTAATTTATTATTCTTTATACTTTATTGAAATGAAATGTTTCTCATGTAAGATGATCAATCTTATTTAGAATTTTAGACAATTATTTGGAAGTTATTTGATGAAACTTATGAATTAGAGCCCTGAATACATTTGAATTGTAAATGTATAGAATAAGATGTGATTAATTGATGATTATACATGTAGCTGCTGTGATGAGGCACAGGGCTGAACATGCCTTTCTGAATGATGTACATTTAAAATGGGTTGAATGGCACTTGTGTGTAATTAAATATTAACATGTGAAAATCAGATCACTCTTTGTTCAGTTATATACACATTGTTAACTTTATTGGCAATTTGGAATATTTCTTCTACATAACAAGGTGATTTCATTTCATATAGCAGCAGACCCTCAGATTCCTTTATTGACCAAAAACAACAACCTGTAGCAGATTGCTTCAACACAATAGACACTAAACACAAGAATATACTTTTTTTTTGTTTCTATACATTCTGCAAGAATTTTCTGATACACTTTACTAATTACTTAACCTCAAACTATTATATCAATACTAGTTAATACAATGATTATATTGCATTCAATACTTTTAATGATAATCTCTTATGTGTAATGTGTTTTGTTTTCTTTGCACTGTTTCTGTTGTAATTGTATGTAAAGCGTGTTTGAGCATTAGGAAAAGTGCTATAAAAATCAAATGTATTATTATTAATATGTATTTTTGCATTGTAGCATTACAACCCTAATGAAGACTTCTTCCACCAGTGTTAAACGTCACAAACCTTTAACAAAGGTAGCTTCCGTTGAAGTACACAGTATCCCATAATAAAGATTTACCCCAGCATTGTGACTCAAGAGTAGTTGATGATATACTCGGGATAGATCTGTTGTTTCTCAAAGACAACAAAGATGCTGGGGTCGCTCTTGCTGTCAACACAACTGTCGTAGAGGTCTTTGCCGCTTCCTTTGGGTGGGGGCCGGACGTAGCTGCTGCTCCCCCTGGTGTACTCCCCGATCAGCACCAGAGCAACAAACATGATGTTGCTCTGTTTACTTTTCAACGTGGCATATCTGTGTGAGTAAGACGCATCTCTGGCAAAGTAGCTCCCTAAAAAACAAGAGAGCGTTAATACTGACAAGTGTGATAGTGAAGGCTCTGTGTCTACTGTCATGTTAAGCTTCAGGAGTCCCATGAACAAATACAACACATATACAACACAGAACATTTTGGGGAAAGAAATGTCTTTTGTGGTCTCCATTGTAAACTATTCATCATACTGCATTTCTGGAATGGCTGCTGTACCTTTGCCGTAGGCCGTGCCGTGGACCCCACACATCCTCCAGTCAAAGTTTTGCTCACAGATGGCATCAATCAGGGATTCTTCTGTCCCGTGGAACAAGTACTGCTCATTCACAGTTTTCCCTCCATTCCTCATCTTCATCTGCTCTTTCTGCCTGAAAACACAACATAGAAAACATAAATGTAATAACTTCTAAACCTATGATTTTGGTCAACTCCTGAGAGTTGCTAAATGCTACGCTACATTAATCAGCTAATCTCTAACTGTCTGCTGATTTAGAGGTTTTTTCAATTCAAACTGTTTAACAGCTTAACACAAGGCCCTGAGGGCAGTGGGAGGAAACTAAAAGAGTACAGTTACAGTACCATATTAGCTCAAAAAATCACTAAGGCTGAGAGGAGCTTCAGATTCAGGTGATAACATCGATACAGGTTCCTTATTACAAGACAAGTGATCACTCATTTTAAACATACATATTATATATTCATGAGATAATAATAGTGGTATAGCTGCTTAATGCCAATTTACCACTGAAAGATTTTCCACAGAGAGGAGTTCTGGATCCTCTGTATTTTGTTGATTTTACTCAGTGGCATCGTGCGCTTAAACAGCGACTCAATCATCTGATACTCCTTCTCAGATTTGGAGAGCAGTACGAGCTGGAAGATAAAAGTACAGTGCAACAAAAATATTTATTTAAAATGTAAAGCAGAACATCTTGAAAGCTAGGACTTTATAAAAGCGATAAGTAAATTGCTGCCATTTTTTTTGTCAACCCACTCATTGTTAGTGGTTTACTTAAATATCATTTTGAATAGTTTAACCAAACATAAAAATAATCTGAGTTGTTGAAGTAAATTGTAACTAAAGAGTGTTGTAATGAAGCGAAAAGTACAACATTCCCTAGTATAAAGGGGTTCTTAAAGAAAATACTTAAGTAAAGTTCAACTACTTCAAATGTATACTTAAATACAATACTTGAGTAAACGTACGTAGTTAATGAAATGTAGCTGAAGTAAAACAAATGTAAATCTTGTAAACTCTGCAGTACACAGCAAGCTGCCTCCTCCTTCCTCCTCTACATCACTCAGGAGCATTTGACATTGTCAGCATCACCTCACTGCACACCGAATGTAGTACAATGTATCTGACTGCAGAACTAAAGTCCCCATCGTCCTTCCTCTTTACTTCTAAATAGATATAATGATCCAACCCTGTTTACACTTTCCCTGATTGAGCAGCTGATCTACTCCAACATCCCGGAGAACGGCACAACAAAACTAAACGGTGACCCTGTTTCAATAGACCATACTCTTATAAAACAATTTAAAAAAGCTCATTAAACTGTATATTTTAGTTTAACCATTGGGCTAACATTTATAAATAAACAATCGTTTTTTGGAACAGGGAGAAAAGCAGCCCTCTGTCATACAGTATATTCTAATGTAGGATACCTTGTGTCCAAAATCCAGTATGGCCTTCTTGTCCCAGTTGGGGGGGAAACTGTCAGCTGTGGAGGAGCTGGGTGATGATCCACTATAGGGAGACACACATAGGAATGTTCTGACTATTGAAGTCACTTGAGACAAGGAGCACTTCAAAACAGCAATGTTAGATTTCATCTCAAAATCTCCATTTTAAACCAATAATAAATACCTCTTTAGCTTCACCTCCACGTCATGACCCGACACAAAGACAGGCCTCCGTCGGACCTCCCTCTTGGTCTTAAACTTGACATTCTGCTGATATATCCCCTGTGCTCCCAGGGCACTCTTGAAGTGGAGGATGTACTGGTGGTTGCCAGCACCAAAAGGAATCTCAGTATCGCTGTCTGCCAGGTACACATTCTCCAGAGTCTGAGAGGTCACAGAGGCTGGCCTGTCACCATCTCCCTGCAGAACAAAGGGCCAGTGATGAGATGGAAAGAAATAGTAAGAAATTAGAGGACCATAGAGTTGTGTAAATTAAGAAAGTATAATATATAGACATTATATTCAGAATAAATATGATTTTGTTTTGGGCATTTTTATAAATAATATAAATAAATATAAGTACACTATAGCAGATATAGCTGATATATTTGGTTAATGTTTGACTGACCTGTCCATACTCCAGCCATTTCCCGCTCTCATCCTTCCAGTACCAGAGCCACTGTGTGGTGAGAAGGAAGTGGGGGGGCTTTGAGACGGAGGAGGCTGTGGACAGGCGGCGGACTGGAGACCCTGCGTATGTCATGGTCATGAAGTCTACTGACGGCCCAGCCGGGGGTGCCGAGCTGAAAGCAAGCAATATAAGCAAATCACAAAACATTTCTAAATAATAAATGTTGAATAACAATATTCAAATGCACTTCCTACCCTACATCAAGAAATATGTTATCTATAAAACGTAACTGTTCCATCAGTAAAATATACAACCTACCCAGCAGTTTATAATAAAAACATATTTTTTACTGGCTGCATTCAACACATTTATACATCAATAATTAGGATCCAATAATATAATATATATTATCATGAAATGGGCCAGTGATTATCTTTTCATACTTCAAATACATTTTGTAGGCAATAATTCTACAATTTGGATTGCAGGACTTACTATTACGGGAGAATAACAACACTTGTTACTACTTTGTACTTTGTCCACTTTCTAATTTTCTTCAAACATGCACCTTGTTAGTGACAGGTATCTCAAAATGCCTAAGGGGGCGGCTGGTGGCTCGATGCAGCTTGTGTCCTGTCCTGGGTCGCAGTAGGCCTTCTCCATGTCTTCCATGTCAGGCAGGTCCTTCCAGGTCACACCATCACGGTCTAACACCTGCCATCTGTAAGGCCAGGGCCAATGGACACGAGCACACTTCTCTGGGGAAAAACAGTGATAGAGACGCACTCATTAAACATCTAGGGTTGCACAAGGAATCAACATTTTATCGAAACTGCAATATGGACTAGTAAATTATCCAAATCGCCGTAAGCGCAATATTCGGCAGAGGCAAAGTGTAACAAAATGTATTCAACAGACTTAATAAAAAAGTCTTTGCTTATTACAGTTGCTCTTAAAAAGAAACAAACACACTATGATCACAAGTTTCAGAGTTACCTTTGAAGCTGCAGTGTCTGCGGATGAAGAAGAGACAGATTTCATCCCTCTCTGCATCGCTTATGGCTTTAGATGGACCAGCAGAAGTAGTTGGGGGTCTAGGGTTGTTGTGAGATGGTTGCTGAGTCGGGGTTCTCGCGACTGGCAGCCCTGCAAGAGAGTAGACACACAAAAATCAAATATATTGCGAAGACTACAACTCACTTAAGAACGTTTATTTATTAAAGTCCTTTACCGAGAACAACAGAAGCTTGTCTCTCATGTTGACCCGTGATGATGAATTTATTTCTGTAGATCTGAAGAAGGTTTGTAATATTTTCCTGACTGAATCCTCGGAAAATCTTCGTTCCATTGGCATCAACAGTATGTGTTCTTTTGCACGAGGAGCCAAACTTACAGTCACCCTGCAGATAGTGCAGGCAGATGTGGAGCTTGGTGCAGGAAGTGGCGAATTTGCAGGAACCGTGCACACTGTTGCCTTTATTGTAGTGCTGGCAGATCTAGAAGGGGTGACTTTAACATTAGGACATGCATGTGCATTTTTTTTTCTACAGAAAAGCTGCTGTTACTAAAACCACCTACCTCAGGCAGCAGATATGGATCATTCTGCAGTAACAGCTGGAACAACTGTTTCTCCTTCAAGTCCTGAAGACCATATTTTTTCAAAAGCTCTGCATCGTTTGGAAAAGCCAGGCTATGGGGATTTTTACACTTTGCTCTGAAATATAAGAGAAGGGATAACATAGAGCTCAGTGAAAGGCTTTTTATGGAAATAAATGAAAAAACGTTGGTTTCTGAAAATATGCAGGCACCTAGAGATGAAAACATTTTTTTTTCTTTTCATGTTTTGTCATAATAATGTTGGGTTGCTGTCAAAACATGTCTTACATGCGTTTTCTAACATGGGACAAAATCAACTCGATAATGACTCCCGTTTTCTGCTATAGTGACATTGTTATTTAAATCAAACTTTTCTTACAAGTAAAATATTGGCCATAACCCCTTTCAGTCTAGAGAGGCTTATTCAAGGCTTTATAAGTGTTCTACACTTTGCTCAGTTCACAGAGTGGGTTATTCAGGTTCATGTTATGATGAAAACTACTGCCATCTCATGGTCCAAAAAAGGACTTACAGTTACAGTTATTGTCATTTGTAATGATCTATTATCTTTAAGAAAAGGGTTACACATGTTTGAGTCCTTCTATGTCAAGTTAGTTTATATTCCTTCACAGCCAAAAATAGACTGTCAAGCTATGTAATGTTTTATATTTTTCTTTAAAAAAAATGTAAATGCATTGAGCTGTAGGCGAATATCACGAAGCTGTAAAGAGCATAGGTCAAAGAGTCCTGATGACTTTCTGCATTATTTCTGGTTGTGTCAAAGCAAGTTATTCAATAACATGTGTTCAATCTTGTCTGACTGTATCTGTGTGCATACACCTTTAAGAGCCCCACAGCTGATTTCATGTAGGCTACTCTGGATTAGATTTCTGCTACTGGGTATTAGGTCACCAAATTAAATGCAAAGGTAAAACATTAAAGATGCCAGTTGTCCTGCCGCGAAGTGAAACAAAACCAGCAGAAAGAGGAATGTTGAGCTGCAACCAAGAAACACAAGTGAAAACACATGTGTGGGTGTCCTTTTAAATTTTAAAGTACTCAACCCCACTTTGCTTCTACAGCTCTCTCTCCTTTCTCAATACACGTCCTTTAAACATATGATAAAAAAGTCTAGCCTTGACAAATTAAGCTTTTAAACCTGAACAGTTGACACCCATTTATTTTAATTTTATTGAACACTAATATGTGCGACTACTACCACGTCATTTCAACTCAGGGTAGGCATTTCCTACTGCTTTACAAGACAACATAACAAAGCCTCAAAATGAAGGCTAACACAACAGTAGCAACTCACCCGAACGTACAGTCTCCACAGACGTAATACCTGCACAGGTGTAACCCGTCGCACTGTACACAATCTCCGGGTTTTTTCTGACAGAGACGCAGGCTGGTTTTAGCCACTATCAGACTGTCCGGGCTGATTACTTGGCTGCCGATGGCCTTCTGCTTTCCTTCTTCAATGGCTATTTTACCGTCGTCAAAAATGACACTCCGCAGGAGTTGAGGCGCAACGGTGAAAGACTGTGCAATCTTCTCATCAAGGTGCTTGAAGTCCAAGCAACCATGGTGGTCGCACAGGGTCTTGGTGACAAACTTAGAGATGAGTAAAGTCATACTTAAATGAGTTCCGGGCAAGTCAGCTAACCAGTTGGTTCAGCAGACTGACCTGATTTGATACATCTCCTCCTCACAGTTAAAGCGACGCTCGGTTTACAGAGAAACGAAACTGAAACTTTTACAGTGATATAACAGAAAACAACAATGGTTGCCCTGTCTCCAAATGTATCTGGTATTTAAAGCAGCAGAGGCTGAATATGTACTTAAAGGTAGGGTAGGTCATTCACTTCAGAAACACTTTTAGTTATATTCCATGTAATGCTGTTAACATCCCGATAGCAATAAATAAATGAAATGCTTTGACAATAAATATATACAAATATGTCATCTGTGGAAGAAAAGGAAATACTCTGTTAGAAAAAGGCCTGCAATCAAAATGTTACTCAAGTAGTACAAAAGTATTAGAATCAAAACATACTTAAAGTACAAAAGTAAAAGTAGGCGACTATGCAGATCGGCCAATTTCAGAATAATATATGTTTTGATCAATCGTATTGTTTATCAAAGCTGGTAAAGGTGCAGCTAGTTTTAATGACTTGGTATACTGCAGGGTAGCTTGTGAATGTTACTCAAGGTGTAACTAAAGTCTTATTTAATTGTTGATTATATTTCACATCATTAATCCAAATCTGTAAAGTAACTAAAAGTATTTAATAAATGTAGTGGAGTAAAAGTACACTTATACCTCTGAATTGTTGTTGGGAAGAAGTCCAAAGTAGCAACAAATTGAAATATTCAAGAAAAGCACAAGTATCTTGACTTAGTTACAACACTATAAAGTAGTATAGAGAACAAAAAAGGAATACATTTCAGTTGAAATTGAACTTTTTTTAAAATTTTGTATTATTCTTTGCGAAATTAACTGATTACAGAGGGTTAGGCGAGCCCCTGAAGGCATCACGAGCCCTAGCAACCACCACTACTACTGTTACGTGTACCATAGCAACCATGGAGGGTGAGCTTTCGTTAATGGAAGAAAAAGGCAAAGAGGTCACTCAAGAACAAAAAGAACTCCTCTACAACCAAGTCAAAGAACTCAAGTAAGGAAAACACATACTCGACAACACCTTGTAGGTCAACCGTGAACTTTGTTAACCTAAAATTGGCTTTATTAGTTTGCCTATTTTGTTGCTAACAATGGGCTAACATTGCTAACAAGGCTAAACTAGCAATGTAGCTTATTTAGTATTGAGATTTTTTTTAATTTAGCATGGAAATATTACAAGCTTAATGTAGCTTTCTATTTAGTCGTTTACTCCTAACTGTTAGCTAAGACTAGAGGAAGTACAGGCACAAACTTGGATAGGTTACATTATGATATGTTGTTCAGGTCTTCTGCATTTTATCATATTAACTACTACAAAATAACAAGTTGAGCTTCTGTTTTTCTTGATGAATTATCAGTAGTGAGTCAATATCTTATATTTTACATGTGTTTAAGTTAACATGTTCACCTTACAAACCTTAAACTACAAACAAACCATTATCAAGCATTATCTTGACCTGGCTATAAAGTTGTCACTTTTACCCCGAGATGTTCCAATGCAGCCCTCCTGGCAGAGATCGACATGTTGGAGCGGTTCATCGGTCGACTGGATCCTCAGGACCTGGTGTCTCAAGCTGGGGGGGACGATTCGGGGGCAGCAGGAGACTCCCAGCTGGAGGGTGGGGTAAGTGCTAACCAATGACAACAAAACTCCTTTACTACTACGACACAAAAATCAAGATAAGTAAATGATTCTTGAGTAAGTCACTTAATACTTTCTGGGTTAAAAGTGTGATACCTATTGCTTCATATGAACTAACATTAGTAAGGCCTGCCACAATCTCAGATACAATCCTGATTCTAAATATGTTGCCTGGACAGATTACCTCTCTACACTCCGCTTCTCATTTTGTAAATGTGTTTGTGCCTTGTCAGGGTCGTGGACCGAGGCGGCGATCCCAGTCCAACATATCGGATCGCCTCCAGCAGCTGACCTTGGAACAAAAACTTTATGTGGCACAGAGAGAAGTAGCAGAGACACGACAGGACCAGGAGAAACTCAAACAGAGACATGACCAAATTCAGGACAACTACAAGGTTTTAATAAACACTTGCACAAAAAAAACAATGCACGCCTACAAAAAATGTCCCCTGGTAACTCTGCTTGTATCTCCAGGCCTCTATGGAAGAAGCAGATTTGCGTCTTGCCGAAATCAGGAAGGCTAAGATCGACTTTGAACGCAGAATGGTCAAACCTATGAAGGACAAAAGGTTTGAAATGATGGAGCCCAACAAGGTGCTCCGGTACATCGAAGACAAGTCAAAGGTAAAAAATAGGGTTCTGTCTAATGACCTTTGAAAAGTAGCATAAAAACTGTTTTTGAAACAAAACGTGGCTACTCATTTTAACTTGCAAAAGATGGCATTATGTTTGCAGTTGTTCAAAATGAATAGTTTTAATTTACCTCTCATAATTCAAACATTTTATACAATTTCAAGATATTTAGATTTTATTCTGTTATTTTTCTTCGTCAAATTATGTCATGAAATGCCTCCTTTGTAGTCCTTTGTTTTCTTTCGTAACATAGAAACATTACTACATAACACTCCACTTCTACTAGCTAGTAGTCCAACACATGATAGGCTAAGGGGTGGAATATCTCTTAGCGGTTGACCAATCACAAAAGAGGAGGCCAACTAACCAATCAGAGCAAACTAGGCTCTTGTTTCAGACAAAGGGTGAAAAGAAATGCTGCAGCACAGGCAGTATGAGAAAATCAAAGACCTTTTTGAACATTAAAGCATGGAGACATGTCACAGTAGAGGCACACAATATAAATATGAACCTGAAAATGAGCATAATAGGGCCCCTTTAATGTTTTCTTCCTCATGTTTTCTGTACTTTTACAACCCCTACCCATATTTACCATCCTCCAACCTTCGTCCACATGATCTGCTCTGTTCACAAACAGGTCACACAGGTGGAGAAGTTGACTCGGAAGAACCATGCACTGAAGGTCCACGAGAAGAAGCTCCAGCAGCAGCTTCAACAGAAGAAAGAGACGGGGAAAGCCGAGTACGAGGTAGATGATGAGAGTGTGAGGGTTATAACCAGAGGGGCTAACAAAAGGCTAGAAAGAGTGTTACCAATGATGACCCATCGTCATTGGGTGTCACTCTCTGCTTGTCAGTTACTGTAACAATGTGTGGTACTGTGTGTTAGGGAATAATTTGCTTTGTTATTCAACCTTTGACACAGTTCATCATTTTCTCCTCTCACTGTCTCCTTTCCCATGGCATAGGTCTACGGCCTTGGGTATTGCTGCTATCTCTTTTAAGGAGGGGCAGCTTGGGCGCATTGTTGTTGCCAGTCTATGACAGAGCACAAGTCGCCATGAGGTAGTTTACTGTTCAGGGATGAAGGTTCCCTGGCGCACATTCTTTTCTATGGACGAGAGCTCTAGTTAGATTCAGGGTCCATAATTGTTTAGTCTCACTGATGAAGAATGTTGATTATTACACTCCGAACTAGTTAAAACCTTGTGTTACTTCTGGCTCACTTGCTCTTGGACAACTTCTAGACGACGGAGGACCTACGTCCGTCACATCGTAGTACTGTAAATAAGAAAGACAAAGAGATATGATTAAAAGGAGAGAAAGAAGTATGTGAGGTCTAAAGGCTATCTCTGCACGCAGCACCCGTCACTTATGGAAATTGTAATATACTAATCGAACATAAAGTCGATCTTGTAATACAATCATACCCTATTCGATGTCACTCTATCCTACAATATATGTTACAATTCGTAGGTAGTTTTCTCTATTAGGGCAACGATGTCATTATACAATTCATAGTAAGCAAAATTTTATAAAGAACATATTAAAATATCCACACAAAATCTGTAGTGGTTCTCTTTCGAGGGTTGGAAAAAAAAAAGTTAGACCGCCTTTATCAGAGATGGTGTTATTTTCTGATAAACCAACAATGATACTGTGTAAGGTCGTAATGGAGGTCTGATAGACTAATTAAAAGTAATAATGACATGGCCACCGTCTTGACTTAATACGAAAACGCTAGTGTTTTTGACTTGTTATGCAATTATAGCGCACACGCAGTAGTAATAGAGTAAACGCGCAACGAATATATTAACATTACATCACGATAAGCATAGAGTAACATAGTTAATGTTAAATACCATTGATAACCAAATGGACTTCAAAACCATCTTATAGGAAATCAGTTATCTTTTTTTGTGTGGGTAGGGGCGTTCTAAATCCTTCGACCTCGATTCAGTTACGATATGACGTTGTCACTAAAGTAAATAGGATGTGATCTAGATCTTTGTGTCTCCTCTTGCTAGAGAGAGTGTGTAAGCATGTACTTGAAATGGAACGCGACACTTTGCCTCCTGTGCAACATGAAAGTTTAACAAGACTGAACTTCCAAGTAGGGCCAAAAACAGGTAAGAGACGAGCGACATGAGGACTTTTAGAAGTTTTTTGTTGAGTGTCACATTCCCTTTGAAGACATCGTTACCTCTCAGTGCCGAGTCTCTCTGTGTTTCCTCTCAACCTCGAAACTACAGTTTGTTGACCACCAAATAAACCTCAAAGTCGGCCTCTCAACTGTTCTGTCCGCCACACAGTGCTTAACTGTGTCGCCAACAGTTTGTGGTTAAGACTTCTTGGGGA